TTCCTCAATTCGGCGACCTTCCCTCCGCTGCCGGCGCTCACTGTCCTTTGTCGCCACATAGCATGGCCCATCTCGGTATCTTCGTCCCAGCCAACGGGTTTCGTGTCAGTCCTTGACGTCTTCACGTCGGTCTACACTAGTCTCCGGCTGGCTGTGCAGCGGACCGAATACGAGACATTGCCATCTGACGATGCGCGGCGGAGTGTCGACAATGCATATTTCATGCGGTGCACGCTGGTGGCTGACGAAGAGGAACGGAGGATAGAGGCGCTGAAGGGCGTGAAACGCATCGATTTCCTGGCGGGGAAAACCTGTTTCCTTGGACTCTCTGGCCCATTAGAAGGCGCCCACGTCTGGGAGCTTAATGTTGCGTGACCTGGTGGCGGATGCGTGCTACCATTTCGATATCTAGAGGAGTCGGCGGTCCGTGCGATTTTGCTTCGTTATAGCGACACGCTACTCTAAATCGCCCCAGAAGTTTGTGTTTGTGATTGTGAACCGTCCCTGCGTTATCGTGCTAATTACTTCGAGTTACAGTGTCTCAAATCGTGTACCACCATGTACTCAACACATAGAAACGTGTATTAATCGTGGATTTCAAGTCTCCCTGTGTTCTCGCGTGGTGGGTCAACTCACCAAGCTCTTCTGCGGGACTGCGCGTTGTTTTCGGGTCCCAATCCAACAATATTCTTCGTCCACAGCCCGAAATTCGGATCATACGCGGCTGTTGCCTGGGTGGAGGCAGTGCATGTGCTGTGTGGCACTAGCGTGCAGTGGATTGGTTGGTATAAACAGGGAAACTGGTCAAACGGGGATCCGCCTCCAGATTTTCCCCTCATCACAACTGTTGCTCTCCACGAGGCTCGCACCTCGATGGGGAATCCTGAACCCTTTTGACAATAATCTCTTCTTGGCCAACTCCTGGGGCGTTTGCTGAACAACATTCCATCTGGATTGACAACTGGGCCATGACAAAATCCGCCGAGGCGCGCTAATCTACGTTTTGTATTAGATCCCCAAGCGGCCATTCTCGGCATAGGAGCTTTCTGCGCGCTTCGTTATTTATGGCGAACAGGGACGGATGTCAGTCGCCGCACCAGTGCATCGCTGCGCAGCGCACGTACGTGTCCAACCGGCATTCTACCCTCCTATTCTCAACCACTCAACGTCACTAGGCTCAAATCGAACCCCATCACGAAATGCAGGCTGGCAAAGCTGTAGAGTCGATGCGAGTCCTAATTCAACACCGCGTTCCCGTTATCTCATTCCCCGTAATGGCTTGATGAATCTTGCTTTGGAAGTGCTGCGGGCCCGCGCAGCACGACAATCCGACATTCAAAATTAGTGCTTGAGTCAGGTTGGAAACAGGGTCAAGCAGCCATTGTATGCAATATAAGGCTCGTCCGTCGCCCAGCATTCTTTGCCTCAGTACCGTCCTCTCTTCGTGGCTTACCGGCAGCCAAGGAACGCGGCGTGCTCAGATGCCAGCTCGTGTGCGCTTTGCCCCAACGAACACCTTCCACTCGCCCCCGCCGCCCCTGGCGACCCCTATCGCATCATCGTCCTCTGATTCTTCTTGGGTGCCGTTGACACCACCGCCGTTACCATACGCTCCAATCCAGGGACCATCGCCCTTCTTCCCAAAGTACCCGCAGCCCGCGGGACGCGCACACAACCTCATCGCGTCCTCGTGCTCCCCGCTCCTCAATTTCGATATTACCCTCCATCCGAGCGCCATCACGACAAACTACCTCGGGCTGTCTTCGGCTGGGTTTCTCGAGCCCGCAGTATACCCTCCACAGCTCGCCCTCACGCTGGTGACTCCGCACCTCCCGTGGTCAATCGTCGTCCCTGCTTCCAATCGGCGCTTCGTCACTGTTGGCGATGTCCTGAGCGCTGTGTACGGTGCCCTCCGCGTGAACGTCACCTCCAGCGAGTTTAACGCGCTCGGGACAGCGACGCTCAAGCGGCAGGTGTCGGTCGCCTACCAGCGGCGCTACGAGCGGCTTCGCGGTCATCGCGGATACACTGAGGAGAAAAAACAAGGGGTCAAACGCGTGGACTTCTTGATCGGATTCACAAAGTTCCAAGGCATCTCCCCCACGGCCACCTCTCAGTCACAGAATGTGTGGCAGCTTAACATTTCATGACGACTGATTCCGATTGCAATTCTGTTCTTTCTTTTCTTTCTCGTGCTGGTTCGACGATACCCCATTCCTGTATCCGTAGCTTCCGCATTGTTCTGTATGGCTAGATGCTTATACCAATATGATTATGACTTCATGGAATTTCGGTTCCGAATTCTTTGTGTCGCTCGTTTCCTTTTATTTGCTCGCGTTTGATCATTTGTTCTTGACGCGTTACGCACGTGATCTGCGTAAAGGTTGATTCACAGAAAGCGTTAGTGGAACGAGAGATACGAGGTTCAATGTGTTGAATGTACAGAAGAAGAGCAAGATGAAAGGAAAGAGAAGTCGGAGAGCTAACTGGCGGTGACGAGGAGTGACATCAACAACCCCGTGACCTGCGCGGACGCGTTGTGTGGTTCTGTTGTAGACTGATGCTTGGTATATAACGCAAACAAATGCCTCAAACGATTCCCACCCTTCTCTGTTTCGTACCCCCACCATCCTCGCGCGTTTTTGCCCCTGCTTCCCAGAACTCACCCGCAATGGCTAAAACCGCTACCGGTACGTCGTCTATCCTTGGGCGAGGCTCTTAACGACGTTTGCTGCAGTGACGAAGACCAAGACCGCGACGAAGGCGGCGACCACCAAGACCAAGGCGAAGAAGACCGACGGTGCGCGATCTCTCTGTCTCTGCTCGTCTCCTGAACTGATATGGCTCTCCCCAGACAACGGCGAGAAGAAGAAGCGCGAGCCGTCCGCGTACAACATCTTCGTCCGCACCAATCTCCCCAAGTGGAACGAAGCCCACCCAGATCGGAAGAAGGAGGGCATGGGCGAGGTGCGCGTCGCTCTCTTCTTTCTTCTTGGCCATCCACGCCTCCATATGTCCCATCTCATCTGCTCTTCTCTATGCTGCCACCCAATACCGACGCTGATGCCACCTAGGTCGCCAAGCTATGGGCTAACGCAGAAGAGAACCCCAACCGCGGCAAGCCCGTCACCAAGAAGGGCGCTCCCAAGGCGGCGAAGGAGGCCAAACCCAAGGCTGCGGCGGCTAAATCCAAGTCCAAGTCGAAGGCGAAGAAAGACGCCGACGAGGAGGAGGAGGAAGCCGCTGAGGAGGAGGATGACGAGGAGAAGGAGAATGAGATTCGGAGTAGCGATGAGTGATTGAGTGCGTCGTTCGTCCTTTCTGCTCCATTCCTTGCTGCGCGTTCCTGTTGCTGACTCTTTCGTCTAGTTCTACCCTCTCGTCCTCACGGCCGTCATGCCCGCCCCTATCATTATTATCGTCTGTGCCTGTAATCTCCATATCTGTATTATCCTTCATCGCCCTGCTGTTGTTACTTTCTAGACTGTTTCTTTCGATAAAACCCCGCGTATCCAATACACTTGCTCGCTGCTTCTCGCTCTTCCTTGTGTGCAGTACCTGGGCTTGACTGGGATGCGTCTCGAGTCTCCTCCCCGCATTCCCGTCGTCCTTGAGGTCGTTCTTGTTTTCATCTCGTTCTTTCTCTCCTGCCCTTGCGTCCATCTCGTCGCTGTTACGTCACCACGAGCTAGTGAATTTATTTGTTTCTCGCTAGGATTGCTGTTGCGCCAGGGTGCTCGTGGTGTTCGTGTTCATGTTCGCGGATGTCCTCGTCGGCTTCTTTCCTTCCTTTCTGGGCTCGCGATCGCCTGCGTTTCCTGTCGGCGATTCGTTCCCTCTTGTTTTGTTTCGTTCTTTCCGCTGCGCCGCCACGCGATGCGACCGCTTCTCATTCCATGTGGACGCGTTCCATGCACATGCTAATTACTACATACCACTTGCTATCCGGTATTCATTCGCTCACGCAGTCAGTTCTCTCTTGTCTTGGTTATCTGTCGTCCATGCCCGACATACGTGCCGCGATGTCGGACAATTGTGCGTGGTCACAATCTCTCCTCTGCTCTCGGTTCGTCGACGCTCTTCATCGACATGCGTATGCGCACGCGCAGGAACAAGCCTCTGTTGTTGGGCCGCCCTGTGTTTCTTTCTTGCATCCACGCACCGCTGCGCTCTCAGGCTTGCGCTGGACGTGGACTCGGAATGACGCGAACAGTCGAACTTCTGCCGTGTTTGATGCTCTACATAGCTGTTCGATGCGCGTACAGAGGGATACCTACATCATCTCTTTCTCATTTTAGGAGATGCCTGCGACGCGGACCGCTTCTATTCTCTGCCTTCGCTTCTGGTTTGTTTGCTTTCGCTCCGTGTTCCTCTTGTTCGCTCTTGGGTTGATTTCGCTTGCTTCTCGGTGGAAACCGCAAAAAATAGAAGATGAAAAATAAAGGCGATGACAACACCCCGAATGGAACACTGCGCTTGGACGCGTCAAAGTCTCGCTCTCTCGCTTTGCACGTTTTGACTTCTCTTCGTACTCATACTGCCCGCGTGCGTTGGTGAAGACTCATCGTCTCACACTGCGCTCGCAGTTATTTAGTTCTCCCGCGTCGCTTTAAAACATTTCCCCACCCACCATCCATACTCCACTCTGCTACATTCTACAGTTCCTCTTTGCTCTACTTGTAATTACATGTCCCTCGTAGCTAGGCTTGAGCCTGATCCATGATCAGCATCTTGTGCTTTGGTCTGTGCCCATTTGGACGTGTCGGTTAGGTAAAAAAATACACATACCAAGCATGCAAAGTCATTCTCATTGTTAGTCAAGTTCGAAGACATTCGGGCGAATTGAGTGATTGGGGCATTAGTGAATCACTGTTTTTGATAAAGATCCGCGCCTTATGTTCCGCAAATAGCTGTAAACACCTCGTCCTCCTTCTCGCACTCTCTCTCCTCGACGTCCCGCGCAGAAGGTTGAATACACCGAACATAAAAAGTCGAAAATGTGGCACCACCGAGGATCGAACACGGGACCAACCACCAATTGAGTGGCTGCTCTCCCAACTGAGCTACAGTGCCATGGCAGTGATCAGAGCTGACACGGAGGATGCGAGGAAACTTCGATCCGCACACACTGTCGAATTGAACCGAGTTGGTCGTCGCTAAGAAGGTTCATCCCATAGAACCGAATGGTTTTTTTCACTTCTTGAAGCTATTGTGCAGTTTCCTCCGTCTGAGTCATTTTTTGTTTGCTATCGTTCGGTGTTCCGAGTCTGTTCTCACCTTGGTTCGTTTCACTTGCTCCCAGATCTGTTTCAAGTATCGCTTGTTCTTCAATTCGCGGGTTTTGCTTCGATTGCCTTTCTTCCCTCCACGATAAGTTATCTTGCAGGAGGTGAAATGAAAGCCAACGGAAAAGGTTGTGGGTCAACGCTGCCGAGACATTTAATGCATTAATTCAGAGTGAATAAGGGAACTATGTATCCTATTTCGATCAAGTGTCTTGTTTTAATGTGTGCTAAAATCGCCATCATGTTGTGGAACACTGCGTCGGAATGGCACAAGAACAGAAGATACTCCGGGGGCGGCTGGAAGTTCACAATGAACAAGGAGCTACTCGAGTACAGATGGCCCAAAGTTGAACAAACGATAGAGTAGATAGATATCTTACGGCTGCTCCTTTAAAAGCTTTTATCAAATGTGTCAAATTTGTGTCAGATAGCTATTGGTCTCGGGATGATGCGATGCCTTCATTTCGACACAGCATATATTTCGCCGGTCGTCAGGGGAATAATTCAAGCTACGAAAAGTGGGTGAAAAGTGTGCGCTGCCGCAAGCAAGTCCACAGCAAGTGGAAAAAATAATAAATTTCTGAGCACGCACAGTTCTGTTGCTGCGACAGTAATTTCGCAGGGAGCCTAACGTCGAGCTCGGCTTAATCAATGGATGCCTGTGTCATCTCAACCGCGTAAGCACGTTGCCATCAATCTATAAACGGTTGCCTTCCCTAAATTAAAGAATCTCTTCAAAAAGGCAGCCTTCAAGTTAGTCTTCTCTCTTCCCTCCAACCCCACCCTAACGATCGAAATGAATCTCGCCGTTCCACTAACGACTCTGGACATTCCCCAGCCCGATCGCATGCGCATGATGCGCTCCATGCGGAAGCTCAGCTCAGTCCTCGGCGAGATACCCGTGGTCGAAGTTACTCGAGCCCCACCGCCCATCTCCGCCGGCCAGCGTAGAGCCTTTCTTATTCACTCACCACCCTCCCTTTCCTTGCTCGCTGACCCGTTCCAAAAACCCATACTCCCTCAAGACACCCACATCTACGTCCGCCCCTCGCTCGTCTTGCGCGTGCCACACACACCCCCACCGCCCTCCCCGCATTCGCCTCTTTCCCCGCATTCACCACCTTCCCCGAGTTTCAGCCCGACAGCCGAGTCGCCGCTGCGGGACTCGGACCGCCGTCGACTCCGACTCGCAAAGGTTTCGCGCACCTTTGGCGAACACGTCCCGCCTGAACTCGTATTTGCTGAGCCTCTCAGGCGACAGCGACGCGCTACCATGGCGGGACCCGAGTTCGAACACCATGCGTTTGCGGCGGCGGAGGCGACAGTGGCTGCGACGTCGCCCATCCCCAAGGCCCCAGAGCCCCTTTGGCTCCTTCGCATCCCGAAGCGCCTGCCTGCCTAGGGCGCTGCCGGATGGAGAGCCCTTCGCTGTCCGTCTGAGTGACTCGGCGGCGTACGATGAGCGCACCAGCACGGGCCCGTCCGCCCGACTCTGGACAGTTCCACAAGAGAGAATCAAAGTGAGACCTACGAGCATGGGTGGAGGCTGGGTTTGTGGAACGGTGTGGTGGGGGACAATGCGGGCTGGAGAGTCAACGCCTAATAGTGAACGACGAGCGACAAACATGTAATAGGGAAGGTCCATTGAGGTATGCCAGTCAAATAAATGATCTTCAGAATGTAAACTTCTCCCCGATAATTTCCTCCGTAGCGGCCCACAACTTCTCTCCGTTGGCAGGGTCAGCGCAATAAGCCGAGACTTTCTCGTTCGCCGCCGTGGAATCGTCTAGGTACGCGCCCGGGATATCTAAGTAAGAATTGATATCAGTCGGGAACGACCAGCGAGGCCCAGACTCCTAAATTTGACGAACGAACCATTGAGGCTGGGATCGAACGCCGCGGCGACAGTGCTAGATACGCGAACAGGATCAGATGTCGTTGTGCGCAAGTTAAAGAAACGCCCGTACGTCGCTGCGCCCTGCGGGATCGTCTTCCACTGCATCGTCTCCGTGTTAGGCTGACCATCTGGGCCGAGGATGCCTGTAAAAACGCCAATGGAGCGTAAGAACAATGTATGAAATGTGTGTGCGTACCAAAAGCCTGCATGTCCGCAAGGGATTCCTCCTTCTGAGTCATATTCGTGAATATAGCTGGTGATTCCCAAGTCCAATCAGTCAAACCTCACGCGCACAGGAAAGAACGCCAACGCGACGCACCGCCCGGATGTAGACTATACGCATTAATGCGCCCATTTGAACGGCTCGACAGCGCGCGCGCGATGAGCACATTCGCGCTCTTCGCCACGAAATACGCCCCGAAGGGCGTGTATCCCGCCGCATCCGGGTGGCCCAGCGTAGCGAATCGATACCCGTGCAAAGTCCATGTGCGACGCTCGAGACGAACACCACGCGCGGGACGGTGCCCGCATTGGATGATGAGAGCAGTTTGGGCGCAATGAGTTTCGTGAGGAGGAACGGCCCGATGTGCGCTGTGGCCAGCTGTTTCTCGAGTTTGTCGACGGTGAGCTTGAAGGGGCCCGTGGCGGCTGCGGCGTTGTGGATCAGGACCTATAGATGAATGCCCGTATTATTATCCAGCGTATATATCCTGAGGGAACCAACGAACATGCAGTGGCTCGGGATGAGCATTGACCTCAGCGGCTGCCTTGCGAACAGCGGCGAGCGAGGAGAGATCCAGGACGAGGGGACGGATGTCCGCCGATGGGACTTGCTGCTTGATAGCCTCTTCCGAGAGCTTCAGCCTGGCGAAAATGGTCAGCGATAACTATAACGCTCTGAGGAAATTATTCATGCCTCTCCAGGTTGTACCCAGTGATGATGACCAGATTTGCGTGTTTAGCAATGACGCGGGCCGTTTCGAAGCCAATCCCGTTGAGGGAGGTACCGGTGACCAAGACTGTTAGAATGTTATCCGTATTGCATGAGAGCGGAATTTCGCCCGACTCACCATTTTTTCCCTTGATCTCGTCGGCGAAGACGGTGGCGACCTCTTCGGCAGTGGTGGTGAAGGAAAATGTGGGCAGAGGCATCGATGTTATAGAGAATATCGAGAAAAGTCGGTCGACATTTATAATGGTGTCCAACGGCTGATGTCACCAAGATTACTAGGAAAGGGGGCAATGATTCAGCATTCTCGCAAGCAGCTGGACAAATTTCGTGTACGCAATAGACAGACGGGGTAGAGTAAAGAGCGATAAAGCCTGGGAGGTCAGGACCCAGAGTCGGGTAGATTCGTCGCCAAACGATAGGGACGCACAGATTCAACCCAGTGAACACAATGTGGAGGTGTGGAGGTGGCGGCTGCTGCCATCCAGGTTCAGCGAGGTGACCTGAGGATTGCCTCAAATCTAATGTTCCTCTAACCCTCCGCTTTCGTCTCGGCACCAGTGAATATCAATGCATTGCAACGTGAGACTGAATAGCCCCAGGTCATAGCCGAGCCTCGCGACAGCCAGAGTTGGCCTAGGACAAATGACACGAAGGGCAAGCAAGGCCGCTCGCAGTTCAAAACATAAACTTCGGCACAAATTCGTCACCTTGGCGTTTATTCGTCACCTCGGCACGTACTCGTCATCTCGGCTGGATTGAATTAGACAGCTCAATATCAGTGAAAGAAGACGAGAGTTTGATAGGAAAGCGAGGAGCTAGTGGTTGTTGAAATCGAGCTGAACAGCAGAAAGACGGATCGGAATTGCGCACTAAATCTCAAGAATACGGTTAACCAAATGATAAGTAATACAATCGGACCTGCGCACTGTTTCCGAAGCTGCGGTCAGCACCTGGATGAACAATGCTGTAACTTCAAGGCACGGTGGCTTGCAGCGGGCGCCAGGTGAATTGAAGATGGACGTTGGGAACAAGAAACAAAACACCGCCACTGATTTGATCTGGCCGGAATCGGACCGCATTCATCAATGATGACTCATCCACGAGATGCTTTTTTTTTCTATTTTGACTTGAAGAGGATCCGGACAAAACCGGCAGGCCATCCGGTTCAAACAAATTTTGGGCCTAAAACCTAGTCCCGAACAAAATTCAATGTTTCAATGTCCGTGGACGCTTGGGATTTTGCATGCTAGAGGCCAGGCAACGTACCAATTCAAGATCTAAAGTCCGTTGAATCGTGGATCACTCGCTGTAGTTCTTGGCTTAACATTAGAATTATAGCGACTGTTTTGGTTCGAACTTCTGAAACCCGGCAAAAACGGAAGGCCAGAACAGCGGCAATCAGCCAACAATGATCGTAACTTTCGCATCATACGCTTGCAAACAGTTTCTCTCCTGACCATCATGCCCTTGATAAACGACTTGGCCGAAGAAATGCTGATTCAGCTAATGACGAAGGCTTCTCTCACTTGGTTCTTTCGTTTCTCTACCCTATGGCCTGCGCTGATTCTTTTCCAGCCGTCAGGGCGATGAACTCTTCGACGAGGCGAAATTCGAGGCCGCAGAAAAAAAGTACCTGGAGTTGGCCACTGGTATCGTTGGCCCTAGTTTCGCCCTCCCGATGCATGCAGGAGACCCGTCTGGTGGCGTAGTCTGTGATCTGTACATCGAGTTGGATCTATGGAAGCGCGCGAATCTCATGGGCTGCTGCGTGGGGATGGCGAAATGCCTACGCCGAAAAAACGAAGTCGAAATGGTACTGACGTCTCCGTGTATTGATATTCTACCTCTCAACCGCGTTATAGGCCCTCGCGTGGTGCAACGAAGTCAACGCTCTCTACCGCTCTGGTTTCTATCAGCTGCCACAGCCAATGTACGGTGA